CTAGAAATCTTTTGGTTACAAACACAAACAATATAACTACATACCTTTTAACAAGTTTTGGTTTTAGTTATATAAAAATATATACTGTGCCTGATATATATGACAAAACAAAAAAAAAAAAAAAATCAAGAAAGTGATAGTTTTATATATTATTCAGACCTTATATGGCAATTAATTATTTTCTATAAAAAAAATAATCCTGTTTTGTTTTATAACATTCTTAATTCATATTAATTATTGAATAGTTACATAATATATATAAAGTATCTTAGAATCTTATGCTAAAAAAGAAGTACAAAAAAAAAAATTTTAGGCTTATCTATTAGTATCACTTAATCTTATTACAAATGTCTGTTGCAGAGTCTAGTAAAAAGCAAAAGGAAAGATTTGTTATTACTTTAGAGAAAAAAGTTGAGATTATTAAAAGGAAAGAAGAAAATAAGAACTTAACTCATATGAATTTGGCCAAAGAATATGATATTGATAGATCTACAATAAGCAATATTTTGCAAAATAAAAATAATCTTCTTCAGTTATATAATACTATATCTGCTCATATACAACAATGTGTTCATTTACAAAATAGACAGTTTCATATTATTGATGACGCTGTTTATAAGTTATTTTTAGAACTACATTCTCATAATGTTCCTGTTTCACAGGATATGCTTAAAACAAAAGCACTTTCAATATATGAACAATTAAAAAATAGTGGTATGAAATTTCCAACTACATTTGAGGCATCTAATGGTTGGGTATCTGGATTTCAATAAAGATTTAGTATTAGTTCAAAAACCATATCTGGAGAAAGTGAATCAGCTGATAAAGCTGTAATTGAAAGTGGATGATGCCATTTTCAAGAATTACTTAATAATTATCATTCTAATAATATTCTTAATGCTGATGAGACAGGCCTTTATTTTTATCTTGGACCAAATAAAACACTTGTATCTAAAAGTGATACTGCTAAAGGATATAAAAAAGACAAGTCATGTCTTACTATACTTCTTTGCTGTAATGCATCAGGAACTCAAAAATTTAAACCATTTGTAATTGGCAAAAGTGCACATTCAAAGTGTATGAAATATACTAATATATCAAAATTACCTATATATTATTCAAACAATCAAACAGCATAGATGACAAGAAAAAAATGGAAAGATTGGTTAAAATGGTTAGATAGTCAAGTTAATCAGCCTACAATTCTTTTAGCTGATAATTGTAGTGCACATTCAAGCCCTAAATTGCAAAATATTAAATTAGAATTTTTATCACCTAATACTATATCAGTTATTCAACCATGCGATGCTGGCATTATTAAAAATTTCAAAGTTAATTATCATAAATTACTAGTAACAAAATGGATAGATGAAGTAGAAAGTGGAAAATCAATTAAACCAATCAATATAAAAAAAGCTATTTATATGATTTATGATGCTTGGAAACAAGTATTGCTATCAACAATTGTTCACTGTTGGAAGAAAACAAAAATACATCTGTTAGAGATAAATTTAATTACTGATACAAGTAATAATAATGATATCGATGAACTTGAGCAGTTATTAGAAGAATTAGAAATGTCATATGATTATATTAAATTATCAGCTGAAGAATATGTAGAAGTAAATAAGCATTTGCAAATAATAGATATACCAACTGAAGAGTCTGTTGTTCAAGATATTCTTAAAGAGCAAAGTTTGATTAATGATGAAGATTTAAATAATAAAGCTGATGATAAATAGGAAGAAGAAATTATAGATGATTTAGTTTCATATAATAAGAGAAAAAAGGCATTAGAAGTAGCAAAAAAATATCTTGAGCAATCACAATTTGCTACTGAAGATGATATTTATTTGCTGTGACAAATTATTAAAAAAGCAAAAAGTTTTTACTAATCTAATCTTAAGCAATCAACTATTGACAAATATTTTATAAATCAATAAAATTAATATGTTATTATATATATTAAATAAATTACATATAATATAAATAAAAATATATATTAGCTACAATTAAATAAAATGTTTAATTTTTAAAAGATATTTATAAATTAAATAATATAATAATTATATTTACTGCATAGCTATTTAATTTATTAGTATTATTTTTCTTTTATTTAAATAAATTTATATTATCTAGCAAATTCATATGATCATAAAAAAATATCTTTCTGTTATTTTTTTCATATGTTATAATATAATTATGTTATTCCAATATTCAAAAAATAAAACTCAGCAAGTGACTCTCTATCAATCATAATCATAAATTGCCAGATAACACCATTATTGGGCAAATTGTCGAACATAGTAATTTGGCAAATAATTGGCTATATGTGCTGCAAAATAGCACATACTCATTTGCCAAATTGCTGCTATTTAACAATTTTTGCCCAATAATATATACTTATTTAAAAATTTAAATTCTGATTGGTTCGATATCATGTAACTAAATATACTTAATTTAGATTATACCTTAGTTATATCCCTACCTCAGTTATATCCCCAAAAATACTTTAGAAAAAAGAGGGGATATAACTCAGGTATAACTGTATATCAATAATTATTGTTAGTCAAGATCCTTATCTGAATAATGCAGATGATTTAGCTTTTAGTTTAAAAAATATAAAACCTTCACTTAGTAAGAACTTTGATTTCTTGAAATAGGATCTTGAAGATATAAATTAGGTTAGACCTAAAACTAGTTTTTTGAAAAAATGATCAAGAAATATATTGTTAATAAACTCAATTTTGACAGTTGAGAAAAAAAAGTCAAGATCACATGAAAAAATCAGATGGCAGAAATTTACAGATAAAGTTATTAAATTAGTTGAAAATAACCCAAATGTTGTAACATTATTATGGGATAAATTTGTATAAGAAAAAGAAAGTCTTCTTAATAATGAATATATATTAAGACTGAACATTCATCATCATTGAATAAAGAAAGGTCTTTTGATAATTCTAGATGTTTTTCTCATATAAATAAATATTTTAGAGATAAGAACATTATAATTGATTGAAGCTTGTAATATATACTTCTATATTTAGTTATACATTTTACTATACTACAGTGAATTCATTAAATAAAGATATTTTTTGTTTTAATTTATCGATTGTAATTAAATCAAAATGAATGAAAAGTTTTAAGATTTTATTATTACTGCCTATTCATGCTTGTATTGTCATTTCAACCTAACATGTAATAAACTATATAAAGATTATGATACAAGAGACTGTTCATATAAATATAATCATAAAAGATGCAATAAAAATACATGTGAAACTTGTAATGATTATTCACAATTTCTTATAATTCAATATTTAACTTGTGCTAATATTAGAATATTAAGAGAATTGAAGATGTGTGATTGCAAAGAAAACTATAAAAGGTGTAAAGAAGACACATGCAAAAAATGCTGCAACTTTTTTAATAATATTGTTTCATATCGAAATTGTTATCTTCAGGATAGAAAGTGTAAATGAATACAGATCATGTGTGAAAATGATTTCAATAAAAAAAAAGAAATATTGTCTCATTTACAATTCTATTCAGCACAGTTTGAAGAAGGTTCAGAAACACAAAAACTGCATTTGCAAGGTTATATGCAATTTAGTATTAGAGTAACAGGAAAATATGTGAAAGAAAATCTTAACCAGAATATATATCTTGTTATTCCAATATACAATCTACATACTAGAAAGATTTCACAATGAAAGTATAAAACTGAAGCTGAATATAGATATGAATACTTTATCAAAAAGTTTGAAAGGTGTAAAAGGTATTCAAGTTGTTCATACAGTTACATTGATCTGAATGATATGTGTAATAAATGTCTTCCTACTAAAGAGAAATATATAAAAGATAAAAAATCTTTAGAAGTAACTAATATAAATAGAATATATTAAAAAACTATGTTTTTGGTGATTTAAATAAGCAAATAGGCTCAAGAACTAGAACTTCAAGAAAAAGAACAAAGGATGAAATGAGAGATGATATTTTGGTAATTTTTGGAAGTACATATTTTAATAATAATGATTTTGATTCTTTTGAACATAAAGAAGAAAGAAACTGAAATCAGATTCTTTTGAAAATACTAATAAAAAAAAGGTTGAGAGTTACAAGAAAATGTTGGATTCATTAGAAAAAGGTGAAAGTATATACAAGATACTAAGAAAGAATCCTAGCCTTTTTATGAAAGCATCACAATTAAAAGCATTAGAACAAGGTGCACAATATCAAAACTTATCATTGCAAATTTTGGTTACTAGTTCAAAGTGGATATCAACTAATTTTTTGATACCTAAACTAATTCATGATTGGATTAGCAATAATATTTTAAACAAATCAAAAAGAAATACAAATTAAAGAAGACTTGTTCTTGTACTAAAAAATGAAACTAGAAAATAGAATATAATCAAATCCTTAACAAATTATAAAATAAATATTGCACATTTTTATAGTGAATTCCAACTATACATTTATAATTCAAAAGAATGTGATCTATTATGTTTAGATAATATTAATGACTTTACAATAATAAATAAGTATAATGAAAAAATATTCAATTACAAGAAATATGTGCAGCTTCTTCTTAATAAAGATAGGATCCTTATAAATCAAAAAAATTTTATAGAGAAATTAGTTCTAATCATGATCTTATGTGAAAAGAATACTTGTCCTATTATTAATAATGCAAGTACTGAAGATGATGATTTTTTACAAAAATTCTTCAAGAATGCTCTTGTTGTTGATCTGAACAATCTAGATTTAATCTATGAAAACTTTTTCTGCAAATCCATTGAATAAAAATTAACTAAAAAATTTATTCTTCTAAAAGTACTTATAACTATTTATTTATTAAGAAAACCTGTTCTAGGCTCTTAAGTAAACATGTTCAGCTCATCATTTTACATATATCTTGCAAATATTAAGTTTTGATAATTTAAACTCATCAAGAAAACTGTACTGACAGTCTTTGGCCTCCAGTTTATAACTTTTAATCATTTTGCAGTTTCTACTGCTTTAATCTGTTCTATACTTTTAATTAAAGTTGTAGTACACAGTCATCCAGTCAAAACAAGCTCTAAATGAAGATTTTTGACACAATATTAATCAAACTACAACTAAATTCAATATTTACTTTCTTACAAAACTTTTTTTTTACTTTTTGTCCTTATTATATCACCTTTTTTCCTTACATGTTTTTTGTGTAATCATACAATCATTTCCAAATTCATATCTTATTAATTTATACCAACATCTGTAACTAATCTATTTATAGATATTCATTCAACACAATCTATTATTATTATATTTAGTTCTTTCTTATATTACACAGTAATTTATATTACAAATTACAGTTGTGTCCAGTACCCAAGTCACAGTAATGACCCTAACCATTCTAGTTACACTTTAGCACTACCTAGTGACACCTTCACAATACAACCCTTGTTTTTATCTACTATTCTTGCAAAATTAACACCTACAATCATATTTGTTATTTAGCAAAATTCTTTAAGTCTTAATTCTCTTTTTCTTTTTTCTTATCTAATCTGCAAATATTACAAAATGCCTACATTAATTCATCAAGAGTCTGATACTGCAGACCTTGATTATTTCTACCAAAACTTCTCTAACAGTTTTGGAATTACTCTTTATGAAAAAGAATAAGGCAACAAGACCTGTCCAATTCCTTCTAAAATCCAACCAACTTCTTGCTTAATAAAAAATTTTAGATCACATAAGATTACATAATTTTTTCAAGTTTCTTCCTCTACCTTCATGATTACTTGCCTTTGTGGCAAATATTATACCAAATTTATCTTATCTACCAATACTAATTACATTCAAGCTACTAATTTTACTACTGCTCATATCAACAGCAACTTCAAAAAACTTAACAAAACAAGTCAAGATCTTATATTCAACATCTCTTCTTCTATTAACAATGTTTCTCCATCTCTTATACCTGATATACACTACTATATCTGTTCCAAATGCTCTATTCTAATTGGTTGTACCAAGAGAAATGAGTGTTATTATTATATCGAAAAATATATTATTAAAAATAATGAAGTCTATCATCTTACTTGTATGACTGCCTCATCTCAGCATAAAGCTAGTTCATTTCAAACCAAGAAAAACCTTACTCAAACTTTTCAAAATATCTTAATAGAATCTAATCAAACTGCTAATCCTAATACTAATTTTTCTAACCAAACTTCCTCTATTACTTCTGATCTTATTGACTCCTTCTTTGCTACAACTACTCATACTAATCCTATTTCTAACTAACCTTCTATTATTAACATCTCTGATAACTTCAACTTAAATCTTAATAACTCTAGTAATACTAATCAACTTGATAGTATCTCAAACAAACCTTCTCTCCAAACTTTCTTTAGTATGACTAAACCAAAATCCAATCCTATATACAACTGGTTTGCAAATTTTTTAATTACTGAAGAAATGCAATCTAACAAAAAACTACAGATCATATTTTCTCTTTAACTCTTTACCTTTCTTAAAAAATTTCTCTATGATTTTTATTCTGATAAAGAAATTAAACCAGCTACTCCCATCCAACTTGCATTTAAGGCCTCATTCTATTATATTATTCATATTATAGCTGAACAATGACCAGAATTCTTAACTAATTTTATTTACAGTAGCAACCCCAATATTGACAAAAGTGCTACTATTCCATTCAACTTGAATCTACTCTTAAAAACTTATTGCTTAA